GTAGTATGTAGGTTCTCTCTTAAAGTTGAAATTCGTTTTTCAGTACAGAAGAGGCAGAAAGTAGGACCTCGTGGTACTCTTCTTGCTTGGGACTTGGTCCGGACCTACGTGGGACCCATAGAGACTCAATGGGATCGGTCCCAAACAAGAAGGGCCGAGGGGATCTCGGCTGAGATGTTCTGCGGACTGATGACGCACAATCCAATGTTTGACTTGCACCTTATACACCACTCAATTCTCCATTGTTGTATGTTGTTACTTGTAGTCTGATTTGTTGTACTTTGATGGTGTTGATCGGATTAGGCTCGAGGGAATACTTGGTCTGACTGAACTAAAACACGGAGTCAGAACACTCTTCTGAATTTTCTTATTTTATTTTTGTTGGTTGCTCTCTAGTCCAAATATTTTGTTGCACTGGAGTTGTACCTTCTTTTCTTGTGCTTTCAATTTGATTATGCCCATCATGATGTGTGGACAACAGAGAAGAGAGAGAGAGAGAGCATGACAACTGAAGGATCTAAGTTGGGTATCCAAAGATCGATCTAACAAAGTGGCTTAAAGTCACCCAACTGGTGCTCTCGAAGAGATACTGGTAACGCAATACAAAGACCCACACGTTGGAGCTAGAGTAAGGATCCAACTCGACGAACTTAAGCGCAGCAAGTGACAAAGACACCTTGCACAAAGTACAGTTGCATGTCAGCAAACTCTTTGCGACACCAGGATTGAAACTGAAAGCGCAATCGTGCTTGGGTGTTTTTAAAGGTACGGTTCCCACCAATTTCACTAATCACCTAGGCATGAATTCCTTTGGCTACAGCCAGTGGTTTTCCTTAATGAAGGATGTAGTCAATCTCGAAGCAGGAGACCTTACCACAACAAGCACCAAAAAGACTTGTTCGCGGATGGTTTCATGGCAACAACCATCTCGCTGCGCTTGACTTGCTGCAGGTGGAAGGGGAGGCCGAAGCAGATGACCCCACTCTTGGCGACGACCAAGATTAGGGCGCTGATACAACCTACTCATCCACCCAAGAATCCGAGATCAATAATGAAGATGAAAAAGTTGTTGCCTTCGAAAAGACTTCCCAAACTAAGGGGAACAAAAATCGAAATTCAATAAGGAACTTCGTCGCACTCCCTAGGGGAGCCAAAATCCCGACCAATCTGGAGATCACAAGTACTAAAACTTGGGGTGGACCTCCTCATCAGTGAGGCTGAATGGAAGGCTAGGATGAAGAAAGGAGTTTGCATTGCCAAAAAACTAATCATAAGGTCCAAGGATGTTTTAGGCTGCAGGGAAACCTGAATCGGGTGTAGAGGGTTCATCAGCACACTTTACAGCAAGGGAGTCTGAACCGGCCAGTGCTAGGAACACGTCACAGACCAGCAGTTCTCCCCTGAAGCCCCATCTTCTGCTGATTTCAAGGCTAATGAATGTCATGTTTTGTATGTTGAGCCTTGGGAGGAATCAAAGAAGGTCGATTTTCACTATCATCTAGAGCATTGGGCTAAGATGAAACAACAACGTGCTCAAGGGACAACGAAGTTAATCTTCTTCAAACTTTTCATCAACCACCTCTATATTCATGTCTTGATTGAATGTGGTGCCACGACTAATTTCATGTCACCACACGAGATACGCAAAGTGGGCTTCGGATGAAGCAAGGGGCTTTGCACAACCCTTGCCGGACTCATGTACGCAACAAAGAGGTTGTCTCATCTACGCATGCAGTCAAAGGTGTGCGCACTACCTTTGACAAAGAGAAGACTATCGCACACACATTGAACTTCTATGTCCTTGACGTATCCCTTCGACATAGTCCTCAGGTTGGGCTGGTTGCAGTCCCAATGCGAAGTGGAAGGAGCTGCTTTTCATGGTTAAGGATGCACAAGGGAACACGTGTCCCATCCTCTTGGATGAGGAGCTCGTCTCCCCAGTGACCTTTCTTAATGTCATTCAATTTTGCAAGAAGTGGCGCAGATATAAGGAGGATGAACAGGTGTCTGTTGCTTTTGTTCGTTCTACTCATGTACCCTCTACCTTTGCGGTCGGTAATAATTTTACTTCGTATGATAAATCTACTGCTACCCTTACACCTACATCTATTCCAAACGACTTCATATTTGGTTGCCTTCACTGAGAACTTGCGACCTGATCTAGGTGATCCTTTTTCTGATCCCACACCCCCGCCGATCCCAACAAGCATCCAAAACCTACTCGACTGATTACAGGAAGTTCTGACCGAACCTCGTGATTCCCAAATGATTGGTCTGACACATAATTGAGTTGGCCGAATGTGCTATTTCTCCAAAGGACTGTGTATACCGTATGGGATCTTGAGTTGGTCGAAGGTGTTATTCCTCCATAGGATTGTGTCTACCGTATGGGATCCGGCAAGTTGGAGGAAATCTGAAAAAAATCGATGAGATGATCGACAAGGGATGATTAAGCCTAGTGAATCTAAATTTGGTGCGTACGTTTTCTTTGTTCCAAAGAAAGGAGGCAAAAATCCGTATGTGTATTGACTATCGCAGTCTAAACCGTATCACAAGGAAGAATGCATACCCATTGCCACACATAGATGATTTGTTTGATGCTGCAGGTGAGTCCAATGTCTTCTCCAAGATCGATCTCAAGACTGGGTACCACCAGATTGAAGTTGATCATGTGGACCAACACAAGACTATGTTCAAGACACGCGACGGGCTTTACAGATTTACCCTAATGCCCTTCGGTCTCACGAACGCACCGGCCACCTTTCAAAGCCTTATGGACAAGGTCCTCCGCGAATAGATTGGTCAGTTGGTGGTTGTGTATCTCAATGACATTCTGATTTTCAGCAAATCAATTGAGGAACATATGAGGCACCTTAAGGAAGTGTTCACCATCCTCAAGAAAACACAAGTCCATCTCAACTTAGAGAGAGATGAGTTCGGGAGGGACAGCGTCATGTATCTAGGGCACCGGTTGTCTGCTGTAGGCCTCGAGTCTGAGGCAACCAAGGTCGAGGTCATACGCAAGTGGCCTCAACTTACGAACGTCCGTGAATTGCATTCTTTCCTTGATCTTGCATTATACTATTGGAAGTTCGTGCCTCAATTTTCTATTGTTGCTCGCCCGTTGTCCAAACTAACAAGCAAGAACGTATCTTACACGTGAGTTGCAGCATGTGAGACCGCTTTTCAAGCCTTGAAGGTCTTGGTAAGTTTTCCTGTACTCCGCATTACAAATTCCAAACTCACATTCGTAGTCACTACGGATGCAAGCCAGTATGGGATTGGCGCAGTGCTGCAACAAGATGACGATGATGGCTTGTGGCCGCTCGAGTACTATCTCAAACGATTGCCCAACGAAAAGTAGCTACTTCCACCTACATGCGCGAGCTCTGAGAGGCGGTTAACGGAGGCGTCAATGTTCAGACCACTTCTCAGGTCATTTATTACAAAAACCAAGGGTCATTTAAACCAAACTTGCCACCAATTAGAGTGGAGATCATACTAACTACTTAAAAAAAAAAACACGAAAGCAACGCAAAAGTGTGTTTTTATGCAAAATTCACTCTTTTCAGTTTTCAGGATTTTCAAGATTTTTCAAGGCTGGCCAAAATAGTAGACTCCAAGACCCCAAGAAATACCAAACTTGGCACACACAGACCTTAACCACAAATAAAACAGGGCAAAAAAAAAATAAAAAAAAAATGCACTTTAACTAGGGCTGAAAAGTGGGGGTGCCCGTTAACCACTTATGTTCGCATAACTATGAACTAAAAGAGCGCACTTTGCGAAAACAAATGGTTAGTCCTTCGACCATCGTGAAGACGTAATTCCTTATACATACCCAATCTTTCATGCGTCAAAGTTGTAATTTGCAATATAACTGTGAACTAAAAGAGCGCACTTCGCAAAACAAATGTTGAGCCCTTCAACTATCGTGAAGACACAATTCCTTGTGCAATCAATGGCGGTCACGCAATTCATAGAATCAAAAAGCACGTAGGGAAGGGACGTAACAAACAATCAAATTCACTTCATGTATCACCTCTTAGATCTCTATTGGATCTCAAAGAAGAAACTGTAGCGCAACGCACCTCGCATTGTTAAAGCATACGAGGTACAGATAGCCTCTAATACTGTACCAAAAATCTATGCAAAACTCAATGCTACTGAGTACTCACGAAATCTCTTCTCTATGTTCACTTACGATGCGTTTGTCAGGGACTCACCTCGCTCTTGAGAGGGGGGTAGTGTAATGACCTGCCAAACACGGACTGAGACACACAGCTGATTTATGAGTTTTGCTCATGGAATGTATGCCTTACTGAGTTTCCCACTTGTTGCTGAGTTTTCTAAGTTTGTGTGGGTGCATGCTTGCTAGTCTGCATGCCTGTCTGAGTGCTTGTCGGCTTGAGTGTGTGTGTGACCCGCAAGGGCAGTTGGTTGTTCGGAAAGGCCCGAAGGGCCGGTACTTACCTGTGGCCGTGACATTGAGGGTTGCAGCGGCGGGGAAAGAGGCCCGGGACACTTAGAACAGCGGAAAACACCGAAGTAGCAGCCTACTAGCAGGTAGTCCGGTACCACACCAAGTAGAGGTAGATGTGCCGGGTACTTGAGGCCGAGCAGAAGAAGACAAAACTTGGCATTTTTAGAGGCCCAGTAGTGGTAGGCTATGTCTAGGCGGGTACCAGTCCAACCAGTCTGAGTCTAGGGCCTGTACGGGCAATATCAGAGTCTGCAATGATGTTTCCTTCCGAAAGGGATGAGGTACCGGTTGCTTGGAGGCGGCTTGGCCTAGGAAATCATCGCCAAGAGGTAAGCAGGCCGCTATCTCTCCAGGAGGAGCAAGATGCTCCTCCCATTGTCGGTGTGCAAGTGTGGCGACACAGGTTGGAGCGCTGGCTGGAGCAGCTCTAGCTTGGAGCAGCACTGCTGGGGAAGGAGCAAGGACAGGAGGAGGAAGAAGACCAGGACTAGGAAGGCGGAGCGCCAGAGGTACTTACCTGGCTATGCTGGTTTCCATCTTCATCACCTTGGTGGGCACTGCGGCAAGAAGGCCCCGGCGGGGGTAGAGCTACACCAAGAAGCTTCGAGGCAGAGTCAGGCATGGCGGCCTGAGCTAGAGCAGCCATAGCTGCTTGAGTTGTCTTCTGCACATCAGGGCAAGGCCCTAGCTGACCGCCATAGCCTAGGCCTTCAAGAAGAGGAAGGAGGAGGGTGCCATGGCTATGGTGGACCTCATGTGATACCTGCAGTAGAAGAGGGATGCGGACATTGATTCTGGTTCAGCGATTCAACATTATTATTATATCATTATTTCTTGATTGAATAAGAGGAAAGGAGATAAGGAGGATAGTGGTTGGCGAAGAAGAAGAGCATTATCATTGGTCTATGGACTCTATGCTGGTGTACATCATCTTCTTCTTCTTTCTTTCTTTTTCTTCTTCTTTTTTCCCTCAAAGTTTATTCATTTCTTTTTGCAATTGGACGGCATTGTACTTTCTGATGAATGTGTACTTCGAAATTGGCCAGGATCATAACAAAAGAGTTTTTTAATTCTATCTTTTATTTTATGCTTGGCAAAGAATTTCGATGTGACTCTGAACCAAAAGTTTTTCAGCTTATTTTTCTGCACAACATAGTTGTTTTTTTAGATATTTTAGAAATCCCCCCTTCCCCCCCCCCTGCCACCCTGCCCTGGCCTGGCCGAGGCGGCCAGGCAACCAAGGTGGCCCAGGCGGCCTGGTCCTTAGCGTAGATCAGGATCACAATTTTTTGTTTCTTGTTTTCATTTGGAAAAAAAATAAAGATCAATCATGACCACAACTCCCTCCCCCCCCCGAAAAAATAAAAAGATAATATATTATATATCTCATAATTTATTAATTTCATTCACCTTGAAGGCTTCAACTTCACTTTGCCAAAAGCACTCTTTTTTCTTTCGTGTTGAGGTCAACAGTTGAGAAAAGGCGAAATCAAAGAAAGATAAACGATAAATATGTGTGTGTGTGTGTGTGTGTGTGTGTGTGTGTGTGTGTGTGTGTGTGTGTG